ATTAATTTTTATACATAAATAAATATTACATAAAGAGGCCTAAGGTTATGCTAAAACTCATTATAAAATAGTGCAGCTTACTATAAAGATAGCCTAAAAAGGCATTATATAGACCTAGTAGTAATAAGTAGCTTAAGTAAATAAAAAATATATAATTTAAATTTTATAGTTAGAAATTAAGTATATATAATACTTAAAAAATTTACTTTAAGTTGCTTTAGTTAAAAGCTTAGCTACTAAATATATAAACTATACTTTATTATAAACATAAAGAGCTACTTATACCGCTTAAAGTTGCTACTATACATGCACATATATAATGTCTTTTATATAAATTGCTTATAAAAGAAATTACTAATAGCGCTACTAAGCTAGCTTAAACTTAAAAAAAAGCTTATTAATATTAATAGCTGTCTTCACTACTACTGCCTATAGTATAAGGTCTTCTAGGTAGCCTATAACTCTAGCCTTACTTAGTACAACACCTAAGGGTTTATAAGAGCTCTGTATAAAGTAAGAGACTTTTATAATGCATATCTAGACAAACTAGTTCCCCTAGCGCAGTTAGAAGCCTAGCTGCAAGCGTACAAGGCAGGAGAAGACCTAGAGGTAACAAGGAAGGATAACTAGCCTACAGAACCTCTAGTAAAGGGGACTATAATAGAGGCTAGGGAACGCGCTATACATGCTATTATGTACGTAACTACAGACTTAGGGACAAGCCCACCTTAGAAGAGGGTAATGTGACAGTGCTGCCTGTTAAGCTCTACTACTAGTTACATAATCTTGCTAAAAGCTAAGCAAGCGCGCTAGCGCCTTAGCGCTGCGCAAGCTTTTCTCTTGCAAACACCCTTTACCTCCTTTACTCCTCATCCTAGTTTAGCTGAAATAGAGCCGACCTACTCTGCTATGCTTCCCCAGCTCTATACAGTAGTAGAGACAATGCTTGGCATCACAACTTAGAGATAATTTTAAAGAATTTATTTGTCAAGAAATTTAAATACATGAATTATAGCATTTATTAAATAAATAACTAAAGAATAAAAGAACATGATACACAAACAGCATAAATTATTTTAGTATAAACAATTAAAAGTTTTATAGAAATATAAAAGCTAATATATACTAAGCCTTACATAACTATGCATAGAAGTTGTAAATAAATACAACAACTACAAATAAAATATAAACTGTAGGCATAAACTATATAAGCTGCTATAACCTATTAAAGTACTAAACTAACCTTCGAGAATAGTTATAATAAATTTTATTATAGAACTCTCTTAGTTAGAGAAACTAGGCATAGAAGGAATGTGTAATGTAATTATAGTTGCATAGAATAAAACTACTTAGTACGTGCACATCTAGCTAACAGAAAAGTTAGCAGTTATAAAAAGTAGTATATAAACTAGACAGATATATTATTGCTAATTATACAGTTTTAAAAGTTATTATATTTAATAAAAATAAGTTATTCATGTTAAAATACTAAAAACACTTTATAAGAAATTACAAAATAGAAATCTAACATTTTATAATATACTTTATAGGTAAGTTTCTTACACACCTAAGTTACTTACTTTTACAAAGACTCTACTAAACTACTTTTTCTACACTAATGCATTTCTAACAACACTATGTAGATGTGCTAAAAAATTTTTAGATATAGTTTATGCTTTAAGCTTTTAAATAAAACATAAAACTGTTAAAAAAATATTTTATAGCTATGTATAAAGTCTTTTAAAAAATAATAAATAACTAAAGCGCTAAATAACTTTTATAAGCTAATTTTATACCTAACTTATAAAAGCTAGGTAATAATAAGAAGTAAGTAATTATTAAAAACATACTTAAGCTATATGCATAAAGAGTCTCCTCTTAGATAGCACTTATAGCTAATATAGCTAATTCTTTACCTACTAAGTGTAATTGTTAGATATGCGCACCTACTGTCAAGACAGGAGGAACGCTTGACGAAAGCTGCTACATAGTACGAGCAATAAGCTCGAACAGTATGTTGCTGCAAATTGCTGCATGTTGCAGCAAATTGCAGCATTTTGCAGCATTTTGCAGCAAGTTACAGCATTTTGCAGCATTTTACAGCAAGTTACAGCATTTTGCAGCATTTTGCAGCATTTTGCAGCATGTTGCAAGCTGGTCGCGCATAGGGCAAGTGCGCGAGGGACTCGGATCGGCAAAACAAAAAGCCGAGCAACACGAGTAGAGCAGAAAAAGGATCGATAAATCAATACAATCAATCATCATCCCATACATCATATCCAAACCCATTATTCATCTCAGGAAGCCTAGAAACAGTGCTTTAATCTGACAGTAATCTAGGCTATATTAGCATAAACTAGGCTAGTATGTTTATAAAGTATACTTAAAGCTTAAAGTAAAGTTTTAAGTGTAAATATAGTTAATAAATGTTTAGCTTATTATTAAGTTTATTTTACTAAAGTTAAATGTATTATTATTCTAGATACTATACTTAGCTTTAATATTCTTTATAAGGCTAAACTAGTTTTAAATTACTTTAAGATTCTTATAAAAAGCTTTTTTATAGTTATACTTACATATAAAATTTACTTTAAGCTTTAAGTAATGCTTTATAAACATACTAGGCTAGTTTATACTAACATAGCCTAGATTATGCTTAGCGCGCAAAGAATTAGCTATATTAGCTATAAATGCTATCTAAGAGGAAAATTCTTGCGTATATAGCGTATGTATGTTCTTAATAATTACCTACTTTTTATTATTACTTAGCTTTTATAAGTTAGCTATAAAATTAGCTTATAAAAGTTTTCTAGCGCTTTAGTTATTTATTATCTTTTAAGAGATTTTATATATAGCTATAGTATATTTTTTTAAGAGTTTTGCGTCTTAGTTAAAAGCTTAGAGTGTAAGCTGTATCTAACATTCTTTAAGCGTGTCTAAGTAGTGTTGTTAAGAATGCATTAGTGTAAAAAAAAGTAGTTTAGAAGAGTCTTAGTAAAATTTAGTAACTTAGGTGTGTAAGCAACTTGCCTATAAAGTATGTTAATAGTAAAAGAAAAAGTTAAACGTATAGACTATAGACTACGCCTACTGTAGACTCTCTAAATTAATCTAGTAGTACATATACAGCCGCTAGACCTAGCACTACATAATGCGCCTACACTTTAAGACCTAGATTAGGTAGTCTAGAACATGAAATATGAAGTTAAAGCTATAGTTAAAAAAGAAATAAAAATAAAAAAATACTTAGTAAAGTAAAAGAAGTATTTTTTAAATAAGACTTAAAAACTTAAAAAAAAACTTTAAGAAAGCTGCTTAAGTTTTAAAACACTATAATTAAAAGTTCTAGGCAACATAGTAATAAAAGCCTAGGTAGGGCTTAGAAGTTACATGCGCAGCATTAGTAGTGTTACAAGATAAGAGTGTAGTAACGTACACTACAGGCAAGTTGTTTACGCACCTGAGTTGCTTACTTTTACTAAGACCCTACTAAACTACTCTTTTTACACTAATGCATTCCTAATAACACTACTTAGATGTGCTAAAAAAATGTTGGATATAGCCTACACTTTAAGCTTTTAAATAAAACATAACACTATTAAAGTAGTATACTATAGCTATATATAGAGTTCTTTAAAAGATAATAAATAACTAAGGCGCTAAATAACTTTTATAAGCTAATTTTATAGCTAACGTATAAAAGCTAGGCAATAATAAAAAGTAGGTAATTATAAGAATATACTTAAGCTATATGTGTAAGGATTTTCCTTTTAAATAGTAGTTATTGTTAGTTGACCTAGGTTCAATCAAACAAACGTACGCCTAAGAGGCGTACTAAGAGGTAAGCAAGCAAAGATCTTCTTATTATTAACTACTACCCTCTCTCTTTATATAAAGAAAAAGGGCTCTTAAGTACACATAGCCCCTAACGCACAGGCTAGATAGCTAATATTTTAGGCAACCTAATTTAGCTATACGCGTGTACAGACATAGCTGTACTTATGTCAGATTGAAGCACTGTTTCTGGGCTTCCTGAGATGAATGATGGGTTTGGAT